TATTTAAATATTTGTATATGTTAAGAAAATTGCCTTCTTTTTTCAAAATATAAACACTACAGGTTAGGTGTCTTTCAGTATCTTTTTTATTAGGTTAGTTATCTTATTGTAAGTTTATTTATTAATTAGATATATTATAAATAATAACTGCTGTTTTCATTACACAATCAAGAGCACAGATAAAGAGTGATGCATTGTATGACAGTCAAATATTATAATAAAAAGTAAATAATAATAAAAATCAGCTGATTTGTAGACGCCATGCATGTGCCATACGTCATAGCGTCATTAGCTGTGCATATTGCATTTGTATAATAGGTATCACAGTTACATACAATTTTCGAACAAAGGTATTTTTATGATTATTACAATTATTTATCATCTCTTTACATAATTATTTATTTGCCATATTTTTATTAAGATTTATCCACAAAGGAAGCCATTGTTAGTTGTGAAAGCATCATGTTTTTAGTTTTACATTTTAAGTCCCCTTAAAGATGTAGCATTCTTTTACAACAATAAAAATCAACTTATTTCATTTCAGTATAATGTTTCTCTCCTTATTTCAAAGAAAGTCTGAAACAACTGTTGCAAGTAAACCATCTTATCCAGAAATTGATTGTGAGAAACTTAGAAATATTATTTATGGTAAGAAATTTAAGTGTTATTTTCAATTTTGAACATTGTTTTTAATACCTACCTAAATAGGTTTTATAAGAACAATTAAAGACCCAGAAAAACCAAATACTTTAGAAGAGTTGAAAGTTGTTTATGAAAACGGAGTGCAGGTGCATTTGTAAGTAATGTGAATCAATCCATTTTATTAGTGATTCCTTTTTAAGGTACGAAAATCAGTAGCTGAAAATTTAAACGTTGTTAGGATAGAATTCAATCCAACAGTTCCTCATTGCTCATTAGCAACATTAATCGGTCTCTGTATTCGAATAAAATTGGAGCAAACAGTTCCTTACAAGTTTAAATTGGATATTTTTATTAAAAAAGGAGGTCATGCTTCAGAAAATGAGAGTAAGATTGATATAATTCTTTACAACATTATCTGTAGGTTTGTTTTTTAATCTTTTGTAGTAAATAAACAAATAAATGATAAGGAAAGAATTGCTGCAGCAATGGAAAATCCCAATTTAAAAAAAGTGGTTGAACAGTGCATACAGGAGGACTAAAAATGGTATTGATAACATTCATTATAATAATGTACTTGTAAGACATGTTTCTTTTAAATATCTTTATTAAAGTTATTAAAAAGAAATTTTCTTAAATAATTTATGCCTCATTCATTGATATAGGTTGAGAAACTAATTTAAAGTTGGGCGATTTTCAATTTATTTTTGATTACATCTCTAAAATAAGGTAGATAAACAGACAAGTAAAGCTGTGTTTTGTCATTATTGCTTTTAAAATGACTTATTACATTCTCATGATTTCTAGCTAAATTTTGATGAGTAGTCTGAGGCTAAATTATTTATTTGTTAGAGAAATATATTTTTTTATTTCCAAAACTTTAATTTGTGCTAAGTTAATCACGGGTGTTGCCAAATGTACAAAATAATAAGCTTAATTTTAATCGTAAAATAAAGTATTTATTTTGCTGGGAAATAAAGTTGAATTCATTTTGACTCATTGAAATTATTACATTCATTAATTAACGTACTGGAAATTAAACTTTATAGCTATATTGTAAACGTATATTGTATTTTTGCATCATTACGTAACGCAAAATTCATATATTGCGTAACGCAAAATCTATCAATTTTGGCCCCCTTTCTTCAATTTGCTTTACGTAATTTATGAATAGTTCCTTAAAACTCGTCCGTCCACGTAGTGTATCCTAAGAATCCTTTTATTTTTAG